CAACTGACTGACTTCCAGTGTATATTTTATGTGACTGGCTTCCCGGGCGCGGCCGTGTATATATATATATAAATATATATATATATATAAATATATATATATATATAAATATATATATATATATAAATATATATATATATATAAATATATATATATATATATGAATTTGAACGGATGGTGTTTTTGGCCTCTGGGGACCTCAAAACGAAAAAGTAAATCGGTCCCGGGTCTAGGTCTTACCATGAGACCTACGGTAATAGCTTATTCCCTATATGGGAAATTCGCTAAAAGGAGACGACAGCCTTCCAGAAAACTACCGCCCCATCTCAATCCTCCCAGTTCTATCAAAATACCTAGAAAAAATTATAAACGCTCAATTGGTATCATATTTGGAAAAAAACAGCATTCTAAGCAGCAACCAGCATGGCTTCAGGGAAGGAAAATCGACAAACACAGCTCTCACCCAGCTGTGCAACTCCATTACTGACATCTGGGAAAAAAAACAAACAGCAAACGGTATTTTCATTGACCTAGAAAAGGCTTTTGACAGTTTGGACCGCAGGATTCTTCTAAAAAAATTACAAGAGATCAAAATTACCGGAAAAGCCCTCCGCTGGATCCAAAGCTACCTGGAGAACAGAGAACAATTGGTGGAAATAGAATACCTATCGAACAACCACTTAACAAAATACAGATCAAAACTAAAAAAAACCATCACCGGAATACCACAAGGATCAGTCCTCGGACCATTATTCTTTCTCATCTACATAAACTGCCTCCCAACACTCCTCCCCCCCGACTGCACATGCATCATCTTTGCCGACGATACAACCATAATTGCCCCCATGACAAAAGACGCAAATCAAATTGAAAACATAATACAATCAGCCAGTAATATAAGCCAAGACATGGATTTAACCATAAATAAAACTAAAACTGTGCACATTGAATTCAAAGTTAAAAACAGAACTAACGGTAATGAAGAAGCTGCTAGCCCACAAACTGAAAACAACATATACAGAGCAAACCATACAAAATTCCTGGGAGTTACCCTTGATTCAAATTTAAACTGGCAAAAGCACCTAGAAATTCTACACTCAAAACTATCATCGGCAATTTTTGCAATCAGAAGAATCAGGGAAATCACAAATACATCAATAGCAATAACGGCCTACCATGCACTCTTTTCATCTCATCTCAAATATGGACTTATAGCCTGGGGAGGAGCAGACGAAACCCACCTACAAAAAATCATCACACTCCAAAAAAAAGCTGTCCGAATCATCGCAAGGGTCGAAAATGAAGAACACTGCAAGCCACTATTTATCCAATATAAGATCCTTACTCTAACCTCCCAATACATCCTTGACACAATCATCGCCATCAAATCAGATCCTCCACAAACCAGACAAGAATGCCATCAATACAATATTAGGTCAGGGACAAATCTCAACCAAGGCCAACACAGACTACACAGAACAAGTAAAACCCCTACATACATGGGAACAACTCTCTATAACTCTCTTCCTCAAAACATAAAATCGATAAACGAAACAAAAAAATTCATCACTAGCCTTAAAAAATACCTCCTGAACAGGCCATACTACAATTTAAAGGAATTCTACAAAGACCACAACAATGTGACACACCTCTAAAATAAATAAACCACACACACTCACACATAAACACACACACATAAATACAACAAACCCCCTCCAAGAAATTGACAACTCTCCGGTCTCCACGACTGCGAAGAGGAGCGCCGATGTAAGATGTAAGATGTAATACGGGTTTAATACTATTTGAAGGTTCTTCCAAAGGAAGAGATACCAGATAACATCTATACTTATTTAATACGCAAGCAGGTTTTTTGTGACAATTACTCCTCCGAAACTACTGAACCGATTGACGTGTTTTTGGTGTCATTGGAAAGAAGGTAACGTGAAGTTGTGCAGGAAACTTTCTTTTTATGAAAATAATTAGAGAATGAGGCCCTTTAAAGTTTTATATTTCTCCTTAAGATTAACATGGGAAACAAAAATTGTTATGAAACTCCAGCTGTTAACAGAAATTAAAAGTGAGAAGAAGAACATATGTTAATTGTAAACAGTCAATAAGTTTGCTACAAACATTTACTGACTTGGTTAAAATGAAATATTTACTATTTGAATAATTTGGGTTGGCGTAAATATTACAACGGAAAAAAGCGAGAGAGCCTAGATAAAATGATATAATATGTAATGTAAATCTTGAGTATTTACATAATCTTTGAGTCGAATCTTTTTAAGACATCAGAAATTATGACTGTTATTCGTTTTAAAATAACACCTGTAATACTTAGCAATTGCTCGAATTCGAGCAACAGGGACACTAGTACTAATAATAACTCCAATGACGTACGGTATGGGGAATATTTTATCCATTGAATGATCAAACAAATTTGGCAACCAACGCAATTAATATCATTATTGTTTTTACACTTATTACATTTTAAACTATGCTAAATGTATAAAATAAATGTATATTTCACCCAATTTATCGCAGTTATCGTTAATGAGTAACGTAAGCATTGAAAGTAACCGTCGATTTCGACGGGTTTCACCTAGTATTTTTGTAGAAATGGAGCCAGGTAAAAGTTTGCTTAGTCTGCAGGTTTGCTGTGGCGTGGGTATTTAGATCTTAAATGTAAAGATCAATTAGTGCTATCTGTCAAATTGAAAAGATCAGTTTTATAAAGATATTAGAATTTTTTGTAAGACAGAGTTAAAATTTATAGGTTAAATTAGCATAAATTGCTCAACAACCCCTAAATAGTTATATTTAGAGCAATTTTGTAAATACAAAAGTTGTTCCTTGTTGTGTAAGCAACATTTATTGTAATAAAAGTAACTCGCTATATATTACCGTTTTCGAGATATTAGCTCCCTACGAGTTTCATGTAATAAATGCCACCGCCATTTTTAAAATGGCGATTCTGAGGTTATGCCCACTCTGCCAAGCTGGCACCCACGTGAAAAATGATAACTTGCATAGTACCTACATGATCCCTTAGGGTGTTTTTCTATACATAAAATGCACACGGGAACCCCCCTAGCAAGTGGATTAATATATTTGATACAATAATATAAATTATTTATTAATTTTCCTTGCCGTAACAAACAATTTAAATAACAACAGCAGATATTAATTCAGGGAATGGAGTTGTAAAAGAGTGTCTAAACAGATTAGGAAAGTAGGATTCACTCAATTAGTCTGAAAGGTCAGTTCCTCAGAATGAACAATGCAGCTGATAAGAAGCATTGCCGATTCTGCTGAGGCATGAAACAAACCCAAGCAGGTTTCCTTGGTCCAACAGGTTTCACTGATGCTGACAGGGTTCAATAAAATTCTTCTGCAGATGAATTATCTGTTGGAGAAATATAAGCCAAATTATATATGTCACAATGTGAGTTTGAGCATTTTGTAACTATATGGGTAAGTTACATATATATATATATTTGGCTGCTGCTCTGTGCACTTTAAGAATATATATTTTAGAGATAAATTAAATGGTTTTTGTTGCTGAGTAGTGCTAGTAAACATACACAACCCTTTTCGTTAGTCTAATAACATTCTAACGCTCTCTAAAGAGTTCTAGTTCTTATTTGTATACATATCTATATTATGTTTTCACTAAGCTGAATGAATACATCGAAGTAACTCTTCTGAAAAGCCTGCAGTATATTGCAGTTTTCTAGCTTAATGACTTTCTAAATCATGCAAATATTTCTACATAAATATTGTAGAATGTTTTATCCAGTTGCTGTAAACTACTATTAATTTAACAAAATATGGACACGGCTCAAATGGGCACCGTGCCCTTCTGCACTTGTAGGCTATTACGAGGCATGTTTTTTAAGTAAGTACCGTTTTTAAATTTCTCCGTTCCAGCAACTGCGATTGGCATTTTCGACATTTGCACTTTGTATGGGCATCTATTGGTAAGACCTAGCCGGAAATTCGAGAACAATCGGCCGTGTTTACATCCGGTTCACTGAGATATTTCTGAATCTCTCTTTCAATCTGAGTTTGCATATCCTGTCACTTACTGGTTCAAAGGCCAATAAACTTTTACGGGTTTTAGAGTTTAATATGAATCCAGTTCCATTTAGTCCAGTTCTACTTTCCGGGCCACTGTATAACACACTATAGGTTTTCTTGTATATTCTTCCATTTCCCTTCCACCTTACCTCTTGCAAGGTCAAGATGTCTAAATTGAATTTTTCCATCTCCAGTGCAATTTCCTTCAATTTACCTGGCATCAGCATTGTTCTCACATTCCATGTTGCTGCATTCAAAATTTCTTTTTGTGAGTCCATTGAGCATTTCCAAGTCCGTATCCTGTACTTCCATCCAATCTACGAAACTCATTTGCAGATTTGTAGCTATTTCCTTTTGACAGGGTGGGGTTGCTAACCTCACACCCAACCCCCAGCCTGGAGAACCAGGAGTTTGTTTAGAGTCCTCTTCTCCTAGGTCAATTGCTTCCACCACAGCTTCCAGACCCCGACCCGGCCATAGCCCAAACCCTATCGTACAAGGCAGTACGGGCAGTGCTTATTTAATGGCGGCACTTCCTCGCCATGACACAGTACTATCATCGGGCTCATGAGGACTTGCTGAGTGTGACCCCGCCACAGATCACCCTCCCACGCCCTCTGGTGCTGCCGCCTCGGTCCGGGACTGCTTATTCGGGCTACCCCTTATTCACAGCTGTCCACCATATCTGGTGGAAAGTTCGCCATCCGCCAACTGCGACCCGCCCTGTACCTGAGGCTTGGTTCCCCTATTAGAGCTTGGACTAAAGGGGAGGGCGATGATGGGATATTCATATTACAATCTAATTGTGACAATAAAAATATATATGTGAGCTTTTAATTTAAAATACCTAGTAATGAAAACCACAGTTGATTAAGTATTTCATTCTGGATTAATACAGTTTTCTATTATCTCTTGCCTACCTCCATTTTAGAGTGGACAGAGAAGATAGCCTTGTACTGGAACGCTGGGCCTTCCAAGTCCAGCAGATGAGACTGGACCCACTTGCTGTAACCTCGGCCATCAAACTCTCCCAGACTACCTTCCACCTGACGCAACAACTCTGCCAAGTTGGGCTGGGAGAAAACCTGCCACACAAACAGTAATATATACAGTGCGAGTCCCATGCCTCACTTTAAGTTTAGGTTTCCTAAAATGATTCACTCGCTTAGCTTAGTCAAGAGGTGTTAGGTTAATGAGACATAAGACTGCTTAAGGGTGTTACTCAACGTGTAATGAACAAAAGTTTAAATTTAGAAAAACAACAAAAGTAACAAAGTGTTACAACAGCAAAAGAAAACTTAGAAAAGGCAAAAATCAACAATAATAAGATAAATTAATTTACAACGTTAAATTTACAAGAAAAGAAAATCAATTGAAAATTTAAAAGAATTAGTTACTGACAAATTTCATGACTTGTATGTTTGACAAAACTTTAGTTATATATTTTATTCTTTTTACATACTGTTAATTGTCCCAGAAGCACACGCACCGATACACGCACTCCCAAACTCCCGATCTTCTTTCTCCGGTGGCCCGTGGTGATCTCTCGATTGTCCTCTCCAGGTCCTCCCGCTCCGAGACTCGTCACCCCTCCATCTTCTTCATTAGCCCTTCTCATTGGCTGATTACCGATAGGGTGTGTGGCTTATAGGTTAACGGTGTTTCTTGGAAGTCAGCCCTACCGGTCATCACCTAGCTCACATCAGCTGGGAAAGGAATTTGTAAATCGATCCTCATGCTACTGTTCAACTCTGTTCACACCAACTGGTCGACTAAGTGTAATGTGAACAGAGTGTCTGCATAGATGAGCACCGTGGGTACGGGGTTAATCCCCTTTCTTACACCCCCCTGGTTAAAACGTCAACCTACCACCGGTTGACAATGAAAAGGAAAAACAACTTAAGGAGATACACGGAAACATCAATCGCGAAGGTGGGAATCGAACGGATATCTTGATGTGCGTTCCGACTCTTCTTCCCCCCCTTCCTGCGACGCGACGCGATCTTGAGGATCGGCGCATTTGCTTGTTTCGCGACCCTTCCAGCGACGCGGTAGAATGAGCTGGTGGTGTAATAGCTCATAGTCGCTCACGTCTTCTTTTGCCCCATCGAGTCTCCTTAAGTTAATTGATTGTTTCATTAATTTTGAACTATTTAAATATTAGCTGTTTGTTAAGATGTTTTTATTTTTTAAATTATTATTATAAATTATTTTTTGATGTTGAGATTATTAATGGTTTATTCTGGGTAACACTTTGTTACATTAATAGTCTTTTTGAGGGGTTTGAGGTTTTGTGATTAGATTCATTTTAATATTGAGTATGTGGATGAAATATGCTGAAATAATGAGTAAGATTGTTAATATTACTATCCAGACTAATAAAATGTACAAAATTACTCTTCTATCATCTAAAATGTCGGTCCAATTATTCTTTAATGTTATATGATTAAACAATTTAACAGGTTCTAGATTCTTTACAACAAAGGTGGGAGTAGTGATATTCCAATCGTCTATTATGAAGTTTGTGATGTTGTTGAATTCTGATCTATCGATCCTGTCTAGTGGGTCGACTTTGAGATAGTTTAAATTTGTCCATGAAAGAGGAATTAAATGAAAAATGGCTGGTGATTGATGGTCTCTGGAATCACAAGGAATGATAGTGTCAATGATTATTGTTTTTCCTTGGGAAACAGAACAGTCACAAGGTAATCTAATCTCTAGAGTTCCGGTTCTCATTTTTGGTATGGTTTTAATGTTGGGTTTGTTCAAACAATTGACTGTTAAGTCACTTTTTAATAAATAGATATCTATTTAAAAATTAAATTTAGAAAAAAAAATTAAACTTTTTTTTTCTATTTAAATTAAAGTTATTTTAAAATTAAATTTAAATTTTTTTGTTTTTTTTTAATAGATATCTATTATTTTATAAAAGAGGAAGTTTGTATATATATATATATGTATGTATATATGTACCCCCCAATATATTTCAAGACTATGATATATATATAATATATATTGGTAAATATCTTAACATAAGACATATCTGAACGTATATATCTCTTTTTTTCTTAAAAATACTAAAATATAATTACGTAAAAACTGCTATGCTAATGCAGTCACCACCGCATTTGCATGGGAAAGCCAGTCACGTAAAATTTGTGCTGCTAAGCCAGTCACTATATATTTTACCGCATACCACTGGAATCCAGTCACTGAAAATCCACCGGGTATCCCGTCACTTCAGTCACTTTCACCTCTGCCCTTCTACTTTGTAATATTTATTTGTTCTACAAGCTTGAAAATCCGCAACTCAAACAAACAGATTATGCTTCAGGCATGGAGCACTCTCATAACCAATCTTTCACGCTTCATTTTAATTAGTTGTCTTCCAGATTACTTAACAATTACTATTCTACAGATTAAATACCTAAATGCCAATGTAATCTTTGGTCGTCTTAATGGTCGTCCTGCCAACTGTGGATACAAACATGTACCAAAATAATTCGCAAGCGCAAGGTGGGAAGTTATTGCTTTATAGTCGCACAATTAGGCCTATTGTTGAGTCCTTGAAAGCAAGCGGCCATCTTGGATAGTTTCAAATAGCTGCAAAATTTATCGTCCAAAAATATTTTTCAAACACCAAAGTGTTTATAATTTAAATAGCTAGTATACTGTGGGATTAGAAATGTTCTTTGTAGTTTTGAATTATCTCCAAGAGAGTCCATAAAAAAAAGCTAACGGTCACGGTCATCTTGGAAAAAGGCCAACTAATACCAAAACAATATCCTGTGTTGCGCGGGCCGTAGCACACAAATAGTTTTCCCGCCTCAAACAATCAAAGGCGCGTGGAACAAGGCAAAATTCTTGTCTCTTTTGCGGCGAGAGGTCGGGGCGGGCCTAACGGGTTCCATTGATGGGCTACCCGGCTACCGACCGACCTGGGGTAGCGACTAGCGAGCCACTGGATGGTTGAAGGTTCGGCCGGTTATTTCCATCTTATTGCTGGTTCTCGAGCTTTTTGAGCTCGTTGTACAGTGAAATCTTTCTTTCCGATTTTATATAGCCACAATCGAAGCGATTTTTACAAGAAAGAATGAAGATATAGGCTCAGTGATGTGTGGTTACTTAATCAAATCATGTTCCTTGATTGTTTATCCTTTTATAAGAGCCAATAATCAGTCAACTTTATTTTTTGATTTATTATCTATATAATTTCAAGAAGTAGCCCTGTACCTGGTAAACACATATACCGATTACTTTTAACGTGTTTTCTTTGAGTTACGCCCCATGGGATTCCAAAGTTTCACAATGTTTACATTTTTGAAGCATGGGAGCGGGTCCACATAGATTTTGCTGGGCCAACCAACGGAAACTACTTTTTGTTGGTAGTAGAAGCATTCAGCAAGTGGGTTGAAGTCATACCTACGAAGAGTATTACATCTTCATGGACAATCAGAGAGCTGCGTAAAATATTCACCACCTTTGGACTACCAAGTGTTATAGTCTCTGATAATGGTCGTCAGTTCACCTCTTCTTAGATTTCTTTAGTAACTTTTTGAAGAAATGTGGCACTTTGCACAAAAAGACAGCTCCTTACCATCCTTCTTCGAACGGCCAAGTCGAACGTTTCGTACAAACGATAAAGAAATTAATCAACTGTTTTTTCAGATGAATTTGGTACACTTGAAGAAAAGCTTCATCAACTGCTGATGAAAATACGTCAAGCTCCGAATTCAACTGGCAACAGCTCATACTTCTTGATGTTCAATAGAAGGATCCGCACATACTTAAGTTTACTCTTACCTAAGACAAAGGAAGAAACAAAACAACCCAAAGGAATAGTGAGATACTTCAACCCAGGTGAACAAGTACAAGCACGGAACTATTCCGGAAAATGTAAGTGGAATTACGGAAATGTCCAAAGTAGAGACGGTCGCCTTCACTATTTTATCAAAATGGACGATGGATAAATTTGGAGACGCCACATCGATCAAATGTTGCATACGAAAGTTTAGGGGGAGACCATTGTTAGGGGGAGACCATTGTTAGGGGGAGACCACTGTTATATATTTTGCTTCTGTACTTCTTGTATTAATCTACACGTTAATTATTTATTTACATTGTTCATATAATAATATTTACTTTCCAGTTATGAATAAATAGTTATACAAGTTACAAGTGCTTGTATTTATTACTACCTTTTGTTGCAATACACTTCCTACGGCATAGTCCGATGAATCGTAGAACTTTGTAGGCATACCTCCGTCAGTAGTCCAAAATTGTTTCTTATTTCAACTAATGTTGTTCAAAGCTGACATGTTTCGTTGCACTGCAACATCGTCGGAGCTTTACGTCAAAAACATCAAATAATTTAAACATAAAATACAACACGGGACACGGAACATTTAAACACGAAAAAACACGATAGCGCTATCATGACACGGCAGCGGTTGTAGGTAGACTGGACACGCGTTATGTAACTTCGTCTCGTCCTTCTCTGTTATCAGCTCGTTGGTCAGCTGTTCCAGATGAGATAACAGTGTTGAAGAGGGAGTGGGACTTGAACTGTAGTTTATTGTTGAGGATGTATTCCTTGTGTTCTTCGTTTACGTTCATTTTATATATTTCATACTCCTCAAGTGTGTCCAGCTTATTACCTTTCCCGCAATAATGTAAAACTTCCAAGCCGGTCTTAATATCACTCATTGAGTGAGCAAACGCAGATTTTTGTTTATGGTGTTTAGGATCTGGTCGGTGTTCTTTATATCATGTTTGGAAGGCCTGGCCTGTTTGTCCTATGTATTTACTTGGGCAATCCGGACAAGATATCCTCCTATACACGCCGGTTTTGTCTATTTTGTAACCTATCTCAATTTTATTCGTCAACACGTTTTTAGTACGGTTTGTAGTTCTGAAAGCTAGTTCGATGCCTTGTTTGGCGAGTTTTTTCTTTAAAGCGTGTTGGATAGTGTGACTATATTCCACGCAGACATATTTTTTCTTCTCTGAGCTGTTAATCATCAAACCTTATTTGTTTTTATGTTTTGTGATGAGCCTATCTACTAAACCGCTTTTATAACCATTG